GTCAGAAAAACATTAATCAATTATTTTTTGGCACTTGACGATTAATACGATTAATGCAACCAGGCAGAGCGCACTCGGTGCTCCTCCCTGCTTCAAATATGACAAACATAAAAAAAGGTTCTGCAATTTAATTATCTATCAACACAATTTAAAAATTGATAGCCTGAAGTCTGTGATTTTGACACAATTTGGAACAGATATTATGAAAAGAAAATCTTTCCCACTAAATTGGTCATGTGACTAGGACATAAGGTGTGCAGGGACTCTAGGGGGTTGATCGTCAAATTAATCGTTATTGGCTGAATACCACAATTAATTGTGATTAATTTTTTTGCCAACATTGCCCAACCCTGCTTTGGACAGTTTTTTTTTAAGGTATATACGATTAGTTGTAACATTAGACTTTATTTGATAAACATATATTTTACTGTTAAATAAAGACTGTAAAAATACTGTAGGCTGTTTAGATTTTATAATTTTTAAACTAAAAGTTTCGAAATATTACACGGACGGGGCCATTTTATTTACACGCAAAGCATTCTGGGTAAATGATGATGTAGATAGGTCCTCAGTGTGAGGCTGCTATAGCGAGCTATATCCACCCTGAAGGTTAATCTTGGACAATATCTGACGATTGACTCTTAAATGAAACCAGAGAGCGTTGACAGAGAGGAGAAGGTAGAAATGACTCAGCCTGTACCTGAAAATATGGATGGCAGACAACAGAGCTGTTTCATGGAAGAAGAACCCCAGCTTAACCTGTTAGCTTTGGCATTAGCCTCGACGCTATCACCATACAGTATATATGTATTAGCTCAGCGCTACACATTCTCCTCTCGTCACTGAGGTCCTGCATCCACGACAGAGAGAACACAAAAATGACTCAGCTGCAACTGCAAATATGGATGGAGGACCTCAGTTTAGCTTGTTTGTCACGCTAGCACCGAGCTAATACATATAAGGCAATATAGTGTCGGTGCTAGCGCAAAGGCTATATAGGAGCAAAACGACAGGTGGGGACCAGAAAAGCCTTTTGGGATTAGAAATGCCTCTGAGTTGTGCCCTTTTGGGACAAGCTCCTCCTCTGGGATGCGTCTTTAAGCCGAAATTCCTCATGGCTATTTTGTGTCTAATAAAGCTGTAAATTATTGAACATGATGGATGGCAATGGTTCACATCTCTTTTAAGATAAATCTTTGTAAAGCATTGGCGGGCAGTGCTGCACAAATCCATCTGACTTATCTGCACCTGCAGGCTCTGACAGCAGCTGGGTGCCATGCCAGCTTGCAGGATTTACTGCAGAAACTATGAAAATGTTGAAGGTAGAAAAACTCGTCCACCGCCCATATTACAAATGGTTTTAGCCATCTGTAACATGAAGCACAGGACACATACAGGTCCTTCTCAAAAAATGAGCATATTGTGATAAAGTTCATTATTTTCTGTAATGTACTGATGAACATTAAACTTTCATATATTTTAGATTCATTGCACACCAACTGAAGTAGTTCAAGCCTTTTTTGTTTTAATATTGATGATTTTGGCAAAAAAGAAAAAACAAAAATCCCTATCTAAAAAAATTAGCATATTTCATCCGACCAATAAAAGAAAAGTGTTTTAATATAAAAAAAAAAGTCAACCTTGAAATAATTATGTTCAGTTATGCATTCAATACTTGGTGGGGAATCCTTTTGTAGAAATGACTGCTTCAATGCGGCGTGGCATGGAGGCAAACAGCCTGTGGCACTGCTGAGGTGTTATGGAGGCRCAGGATGCTTCGATAGCGGCCTTAAGCTCATCCAGAGTGTTGGGTCTTGCGTCTCTCAACTTTCTCTTCACAATATCCCAAAGATTCTCTCTGGGGTTCAGGTCAGGAGAGTTGGCATGCCAATTGAGCACAGTAATACCATGGTCAGTAAACCATTTACCAGTGGTTTTGGCACTGTGAGCAGGTGCCAGGTCGTGCTGAAAAAGGAAATCATCTCCATAAAGCTTTTCAGCAGATGGAAGCATGAAGTGCTCCAAAATCTCCTAATAGCTAGCTGCATGGACCCTGCCCTTGATAAAACACTGGAGTTCTTGGACACTCTCATGTCCTAGTCACATGACAAATTTAGTGGGAATGATTTGCTCTTCATATAAATCTGTTCTAAATTGTGTCAAAATTACAAACTTCACGCTTCAAATTTTAAATTGTGTTGATAAATAAATTACATAACTTTTTTTAATGTTCGTCATATTTGAAGCAGAAACTGACTGGAGAAACCCTGCTGGCATTAATCATATTAATTGTCAAGTGCCAAAAAAATAATAGATTCATGTTTTTCTGATGATTAATTGCACACGATACGATTATGCCCAACCCTAGTTTAGAGTTAATTCATTGATTCAGATGATTAGGTTAATAAGTCGTTTAGAGAATCTTTTCATGATATGCTAAATTTTTGAGATAGGGATTTTTGATTTTTCTTTACTTTTTTGCCAAAATCATCAATTTTAAAACAATAAAAGGCTTGAACTACTTCAGTTGGTGTGCAATGAATCTAAAATATAAGAAAGTTTAATGATTATTAGTATATTACAGAAAATAATGAACTTTATCTCAATATGCTAATTTTTTGAGGACCTGTAAACGCTAACAATCAACTCAGAATCATGAAAAAATCCTGATTTGACCCCTCATAAGTTATGTAAGGCACAGTTTTGTTTTGTTCTTAAAAAAATCACTTTTTCCAACAGTCATTTCTCGGTACCCTAACTTGAGCAGGTTTTTTTCAAGGTTTCCCACAGGAGTTGAATTTCAATATTTTAATACATGATATAATACATCCTTACAAACATTTTGGTGAATAATTTTTTTGGTAACGATTTAGTTTGCAGATTTCACACGTTTCCCTAAAGGCCCTGACACACTGGACAACTTAGGCCAACTTATGAAACATTTTTCATGTCCAAATTGCTAATAAAACTTGTACATTTGATCAATTTGTTAGAATTACAGTATACACGCCTAAAAGAAGCTTCCAGTTGATTGTTTTTTCAATTCCATCTTCAACGTAGATGTCTTTAAAATTTTTACAAGTTGGCATAAGTTGTCTAAAACATCATAGTGTGACAAGGCCTTTACCAGTGACGGCTGGTATAAGTGGGCTAGTAGGGCTAAGCCCTCCCTGGTGTTCACAATAAAAATGTTAAAATAAACAATATTATAAAATTATAATATAATTATATACAATTTATAAANCAATAAAAATGTTAAAATAAACAATATTATAAAATTATAATATAATTATATACAATTTATAAATAACTTAAAAATAAACAAAACTTAAAAATAATATATCTTATTTTGTGAAATTTACAAGGAAAACTAGTGCCAAACCACCTAGGAAGATCCCAGGGTCGTTCTGCAGGGCTAACTATCCACAGCCCATTTTCATTCAGTGTCTGCTGTGATTCAGAATGATTGACAGGCGTCTCGCCACGCCCCCTCGGATTGCAGCTCATTGGGGCTAAGTCTGTTCAGCCCAGGATCAGCCCAAAGCCACAGGATTCAGCCATTTAGGGTGGACATACAAAAACGTGCCTCTAGTGCCAGTGTAGGTGGGCGTGGTTTGGTGTAGACTGACGGATACGATGCGAACAGCATTAACATGTCAAGAAATTGAGGCGCTAAACAACTTAGGTGAGTTTCTTAAAACAAAAGTATTTTAGACCAGAACACACTAGGAGAAGCTTAAAGTAAAAGAGCTTGGACCAGATCTGCTGGACAAGAAAAGCATCAGAACAAAGACAGAGGGGAGAGTTTACACTCCATTATTTTCCAAGAACTGGATTAGCGACAGGCTAAGCTAACTGCTTTTAGCGAGGCTAATGGTTTGTTTTGATTCATTGCCTCGTTTTTAAAGCATCAGGATCTGACCCAGTATGAATTTAAACAAGTTAATACTTTTGTAATGCTTTTAATCATAGTAGTGCTATAATAAAGTTGTGCTTTTAATCACAGTTTAATATAGTTGTATTGTTTTATAATTGTTAACACAGCTTTAAATAAATATAATAGAATACAATACCTTAGAGGTGCAACAATTTGTTGTTAATAAATTAATGTGTATTCATAACTTCAGTTGTTTTCTATATACTGAATATTATAAAGTTCATTTGTAGCCATCTCCGTTCTGAATTAAATTTGTGCATTTATTTTTTTTTTTAGGTTCGTGAAATCATCTTGAGCCATTCACAAGCATCTGATCAGAGCTGCAGACAGGTTCCTGCAAGTCTCCAGTTCACCACCATGGAGGCTGCAGTGCTGAACAGGACCAGGCTAAACACTGAACAGGCTTTTATGAGATCAGGAGCAGCAGTGGTGCTGTGGAGCTCTTCATGGAGAACAATCTGCATCTTCAGACTGTAACTCTATTGAAGATTCTCATCACATCTCCTCTGACCACAGCTGAATCTGAGAGGAGCTGAACACTGAAGACAATCCAGACTTTCCTCAGGTACAACATCACATCTCACACTAAAACATCCCTGCATTTAACCAGTCATGAAGAAATTTGCTTCTCAGTAACAGAAGAGCAAAATGTATGTACTACAAATAAAACACTACATGACATTGTAATGCTGTTTCATTATTGTCATTTGTTTAATAAATACACTGGCGTGATACAACTTAGTACATGTTTGATTGCTTTTTGGGATACGTCTATTTTAGAGTTGTAGCCCCACCTGGAGAAAATTCCACCAGCCGCCACTGGCCTTTACCAAGATGACAAGTTGGAGGATGAAGATGTAGTAGACGATACGGTTAGTCACGATTCACTGCATCACAGATGCTTCGTATGTGCAGAGTTTTTCTTGCCTAACCCTTTATTCCAGTAAAACTTTGTCTAGATTGGTACATACGAAACTAAAAACTACAAAAAAAATAATGTCTTGTGTTTTGTTTAATTGTTAGCTTTAGAAAGTTCGGCCTATATTTACAGCGCGTTACTCACTTATCTGCTGTGTCCTTGGCAGCTTCATGCTGGCCGTCTTCTTTGGAGCAGAATCCCCTGACGCCGGGCTTTCTGTTCAGGTTTTGAGCGGATCTCCACCTGGAGACTGCCCCCCCTCCGCCTGATGACCTTCTCTCCGTACCCGCGGAGGTAAAACAAGCCGCGGGTAGAGCCTCCTTCACACCGGCTGCTGCTCTGCGAATCAGCGGCCGCTTCAGCTGACCCTGAAACAGCTCCTTCAGCACCACTGTGGACCGAAAGGGTAACATGTCGGCTTCGTCTGGTTGGTGGAACTTATTGGATTTTAGAAATGTGAAATAAAAACTAGAAAAACGCGTTTCCAGTTGATACAACGGTCTTCCGATGGCTGCAGATGCTCATCATAAAGCTACAACCAACCTTTCTCCAGGCGCGCGATTTGATTGGAGTAGCGCATTATTAAACCGGTATCTGATTGGTCGAGACTACTGTCATAACTCAAGCAAGCTTGCAGATTGTCATGACCCCTGGCTGATGTGTTTGATGATATAGAAAAGGGGATGTTGAAAAAAAAGGGGATGTTGATGCATGTATGTTGAAACATTATGGTCTGATATGTTTGACTGGTTGTTTCCCAAAGTTCCCAGTCTCCAAATGTTCTCTGAAAACAATATAATTTATGGACTTATTATGGACAACAACAACAGTGACTCTCATCAACACTATTATCATTCTGGGGAAATTTTTCATCCATAAAGCTAAATATCTTAAGGTTAAACCACATTTCTATCATTTTCACAATGACTTTATTTTGTACTGCAATTCTCTTAAAGTGATGCACACTAAACATGCCCACAATCTGTGCTCTTTAATTGAAGAGTATGATTTCACATCCAAACCCTAGCCTTTTTTTGTTCTTGTTGTTCCTTCTTATTTTAAAATTTCTTATCTTTATTTGCACCCATCCTTTTTCTCTTTTATGCAAGTTTGTTTGTTTGTTTGAAATACGCCTTATTGTTTGTACATTGTATCATTTTGTGTGTTCTTTGTTGTTTAATAAAAAAAAAGATATAGAAAAGGGGATGGGACGATTGCTATTTGCAAATGATGGGCTTTATGGAAAAGAGGAAAAATGTAGTTTATTATAAAGAATTTACAAATGGCAATTAAGAATGTTAAAACTGGTCACTTGAGCAGGGATTCGTATTACTTTGTTGAGAAGACAAAATAGTATATTTTACAAGAAAAACATAACTAATACCACTGAACTTAAATTATATGGGCAAGTGCCCATATACGAGTCACTTGCAAGTGAAACAGTTTAAATGTTTAGGCATTTGGTTTCATGAAAAAAATAACATGAGCAGTTCATATCCAAAAAGTAGTAGATAAATGTAAAAAAATATATATATCATTTGAGATGTTTAACAGGAAGAGACTGGGGAGCAGACAGGAAGTCAATGAAAGCCATTTATACAGGACTAATCAGATCAACACTGGACTATGGAGGCATTGGGCCTCATGCAAGAACCGTTCGTACGCACAGATTTGTTCTTAAATTGTGCGTACGAGTGATTTAGGAGAATTTGTGGCATTCAC